ATTTTCTGTTTGGTCATATTTTAAAAAACATCAAGCTCCAAACAAAAAGAGTATTGAGGTTACTACAGCCTTTTGCCGTATTCCTGGATGCAAAGTATCATATGCTTTTCACAGATCAATAACAAATTTACTAGATCACCTTCAAAAAAAACATAATATAACTAAAGAAAGTGAATATAATAAATATATTCAACAAAATAGTTCTGAAAAAAAACTTATTCAACAAAAGCTTGAACATATTCTAATAAAGCCATATGATTTAAAAAAACAAGAAAAAATAATTCAAAAGCTTTTAAAGCTAATTGTTAGAGAAGAACTTTCTCTTATTCTTATAGAATGCAAATGGTTTAGAAAATTTGTTAATTATATTGATTCTCGCTTTAAAATTCCATGCGTAATAATTTTTTCAAAATATATATTTTAATCATACGAATATAGCACTTCTTTACTTAAACAAATTTTACATACAAGTGCTAATTCAATTTCTCTTACAGCTGATATATGGTCATCTTGTGCACATCATTTATACCTTGGCATTACTTGTCACTAGATTAATAATGATTTTGAATTGTGTGAAACATTATTAGAAATTGAAGAATTTAAATACGAACATACAGCAGAAAGAATTGCACAATTTCTTGAAGCTGCAATAGAAAAATGGTCAATTCAAAATAAAGTTATTACAATGTCAACAGATAATGGGTCTAATATTAAAGCAGCTTTTCATCACTATCTTTCTCATATAATTAACATTCCATGTGTTGCACACACACTTCAACTAAGTGTTAAACAGAGTATTATCGCTGCTAAGTCTTTATTTTAGAAGGAAAAAGTGTTAATAGATTTTTTTGAATCTAATAAACAATTAGAATGCTTAAAAGAAGCACAACAATCATTACATAGAGATACAATATATGAGATAATACATGATGTAGATACTAGATGGAATTCGACCTTTTATGCTTTACGTTATTTGTATATTCTCAATTACCTATTCAATGGCTTGCTAATACATTAAGTCATGATGCTAAATTTAATGTTCGTAATGATGATATTAAGCCTCAATCTAAAATTTTGAATAATGATGAATGGAAAATGCTTTACAATTTAATCTATTTATTGTATGAATTTGAACAAGCTACAGCTCTTCTTGGTGGTTCAAATTATGTAACCTTAAGTGCAATGTTCCATATTATACAACAATTAATTTATAATTTGCGCAATAATTATTCAAATATTGATGATACAACTATACAAGCTGTTTGTAATGCAATTTTGACAGATATGGAAAAAAGATGAGAAAATTCTCCTAGATATGCAATAATGGCATCATTCTTTGATCCAAGATTCAAATTATTAACATTTATTGAAGAAGTAAGTTTTTATCAAAAAGCTTCCAGGTTTAGTC